AAAAAAAAAAAAAAAAAAATTGTCCAGTATAGCTCGGCCCTCTCATTCAGCATCATTAGCTATGTGGGATCTTTGGCATGAGACTGATTCTTAGAATTAATCGGTCAATTAATAGAAATATATTTCATAGTTTCTGGGGCAATTTTTCACATCTTAACATCTCTAGAATTACAGTGTATTTTATAAAGTCCTTAAAAAACATGAAGTCAAAAAAACACTGAGGCATATTTGAATTAAGAAAGATTTTCTTTCGCATTGATATACAAAATAATTCTAGATCAATGTCTTAGAATCCATGCAATTTATAGTAGTAATATACATATCGGTTCTTGGCCTTTTGGCTAAGATCAAGTATAGTAGTGGCCTAATAGGATTATTATATTAATGTGTTAGATTATAATATTTAATTTTTATTTGATCTGGGTATGGTGGCATGAGCCTATAATCCTGTCTACTTGGAGGCTGAGGAAGGAGGATCTGAAAGTTCAAGGCCAATCTGGGCTATAATGAGACTGGTTATTATTATCTGAGACCTTGTCTAACAAAACAGACAACAAGCTTGGCATTGTGGCACTCATCTGTAATCCTGGCACTTAGGAGGTTAAGGCAGGAGGATCACCACAAGTTTGAGACCAGTCTGGGCTACATAGCAAGGTCAAAGCCAGGCTGAACTACGTAGCAAGACCCTGTCTCAACCAAAAAAATGAAGAACAGAAAAAGAACCAAAAAATGGCTATTTGCCAGCCACAGAACTCAGTGCTTATTCCTGGGTTCATCCCCAGCTCTGCAAAATAATAGCAACAGTAATGATACTGTAGGATGCCACTGTGAAATGTGTGAGAGCTCGGGTGTCTGAGGGAGCTTGAGGGCCCCTGAGGATACAACCCCATCATTCAGTGCAGGCACGCGACAGACTCTGTTATAAAAATAATAAATCAGCATGGACGACCACGCATGACCACACAGCTATGCAAGGTCATGTGGCTGTTTTGGCTCCCTGTGTCTCAGAAAAGCTGAGGAAGACACACAGCTCTGGAGCTCTAGGCCTGCAGCTCAAGCTCTCAGGCTGTGAGGCTGCCCTGATGCTGGAAATTAAAGTTTGGTTCCTGCTTCTTTGTAATCTCTGCTCCGTGCCTGTGTTTTCTGGAGGGAACCTCACCTGAGCAGGCCTCCTTTCAGCCCACCAGCCCAACAAATACGTAGTGAATAATGCTTCTAAAAGTATTCGTAATAGGGGTAGGTCCCTGCTTTGTGTTCTCGAGCTTTATCAACTGTGTCACGCTGAGTGTATTCTTTTTTGTTTCTCAGGGTGGATATACGACATCACACAGAAGTATGATTTTTCCTTCTACATCTGTGGCTTGCTCTACACGCTGGGGATCTTCTCCTTACTCGTCCAGCCCTGTGTCCAGATGATAGCTCGAGTCAGGAGAGGACGTGCAGATGGCGCACGTGTCTAAGTGCCATGTGAGGCCCTGTGGATGCCCTCGTGGTGCTCCTGCCTACCTCCCGTGGCTGCTGGGAGGAGCCACTGATGCAGGGCAGCACGCTTCAGAAAGGCCACTGACCCTGCTTCATCTGGAAGCGGCCCTACCTCTCGGTCTGGGAAGAGGCAGTGCTGGAAGGTTTTAAAACGATAGTTTTGAGAGACAACAGCTTCTACATCCTTTAAAACAATTAGTAGAAATGCCCTCAAAACTACTCTCTCTCACCAGGCTCAGTGATGCAATCCTGCAAGGCAACCCTGAGCTACATGGTGAAACCCCGTCTTAAACAATGACAACAAAAACCTGCTCTCTCTTGTCACCCACTGGGATTAGGGCTTTCACTATAAACATAGACAGGGAATAAAAGCTTTTCAACTCAACTACTTCTTTGTAAAGAATCTGCATGCTTCCAAGACATGCAGACAAATGGTTTTCAAGCACAAGAATGCGACTAGATTTCAGAAATAATTATTACAGGGAGTTCTTGATCTACCAGTATAATACAAAGGCAGGCTCCAATTCCAAACATAATACATTTTAATACAATTAAAGAAACACAGTTTAGGGCCAGGGATTTAGCTCAGTGGCATAGCGCCTGCCTCCTGAGTTTGATCCTCAGTACAAAAAAAAAAAAAAAAAAAAAAAAAAAAAGAAAAGAAACAGTTGATATTTTTACAAAAGAATCGTGCAGGAGGATTTATCGCTGTTCCTCTAAGAGATGGTGTATGCCATCAGTTTTAACTCAATTATCCAGTAATAAACAATGACTTCAGTAATAAACTGAATCTTGAGATTTAACAAGTAAATACTGTTAGTGATTTCCTTAACAGAAGCTGTATTTGTATATGCATCCATTGAATCAAGGGCTATGATTGAGGCATTTTTATTCATATCATTGGCCACTGTCTTAGATTATTAGTGTGATCTGAGGCCTTGAACGAGGTTTTCCGAGTTTCACCTGCCCAGTAAACCGATCATAGAACCAATTGCTGGTGGTAAAGTGAGTAGTTATGTGCTCAGCTGACTCATGAGACCGTCGTGGTATGAGGGTAACGAGTGGGTGCCCCTGCTCTAGACGAGAGTGCCCCAGGCCTTGGGGTAGTGGTGACAAATCACTTGTTTCCAGTGTCTCCGTTGTTGCCTGGATCTTTTTTTGCCAGAGCTCAGCACAGTTCTAAAAATACTTCCCTTCACTGATTTCGTACAGGGGATGACTATCATCCACATCGAATAATACCCTTCTCTATCTGAGATGTCTATTTTTCTAAGCCAAACACTTTTCAGACTGCAGAATGTTCTTCCCAGAATCATTATGAAATCTAACTGCCTTACTTGTTTACACGTTACCTTAGAACAATTTAAACGTCTTCTCACAGGGCTGGAGGTGTAGCTTGGGGATTCGAGAGCTTGCTTAGCAGGTGCAAGGCCCTGGTTCCATCCACAGCACCACAAAACATAAGTAAATTTCTCCTTAGGATTTGCTCATCACGCAAAATAAATCCTTTAATGTCACAGCGGTGTGTGGGGTCAAACTCATCTAAAATGAATACAGCCCATTCCCAGTCATCCTTGGCAGTTAGAATAGGAATGCTACTAGGGACTGGGGCCCCAGAATGTTACCCCAAGCCTCATGTTAGCCAGCAGCTTCAGCTGGATTCTGCCAAGCCCTTCCAAGCTGTTAACAAGTAATTAGGCAGACGAGACTCCTTGGGTTCATCTCCATTATTTACCCGCCTCTGAGGTGTAGTGGGAGGGTTGTGTAATGAAAGGACCACCAAAATAACAATAAAAGTAAAAGGCAGCTCATGGGAAGGAAAAACACAAGCATGGCTAATATACACACCATTACCTCCAATGACTTGAGAATTGCCTGTAAATGACTGTACACAATAAATTGCATGTCATATGCTATTCGGTTTAACACAACAAATGTATTTGTTACCATTACGATCTGGGCTCCTATTAAAGAAGCCAGCTTTCCATTTTGATAAAAGTAATCTTAAAAGCGGAGGCAATGCTATGTACATTTACTGAAACATTAGGGGGATTAGATTGCAAGACATATCGTGTGTTCTAAAACTTTCACTACTTTTGTCTTCTGACAACACCAACTTAACAGGAGGCAGTGTTAAATATTTTGAATGGTGCTATTGTGTTCATGCTCACACTGATGGGTTTGCATCATAACTATGACCCAGCTTTAATTCCAGCCAAGTCAGACTGTTCTTGGTCACTTTGTAAAGTTCAGTGACTTACTGTATTTATGGAAGGGGTGACTCCTACCGAATCTGTAGAAGTTTCCATTTTACAAAAATAAGAGTAAGACCTGCTTGCAATATTCATGATGACATCAGAATATTAACGCTAGGAATTACAGCAAATATTTCCTGTTGTTACACACAGTTCTTTGAAGATCTCATAAAGGGTTAATTGTATATTTATATCATGTGCTTTATGGTTTTCCATTCATATTCCCAAGTGATTTTTATTTACATACATCTAAATAAAGTTTGTCCTCTTTAAAGGTGATCGGTGAGTTTTTGTACAAATTATCAGGGTTAGGGCCAGGCGTGGTGACATAAGCCTGTAAGCCCAGAATTTGGGAAACAGAGACAGGACGATTGCCTCAAGTTCGAAGTTAGCTGCCAGCTACACAGGGAGTTTCAGGGCCGGCCTGAACACAAAGTGAGACCCTATCTCAAAAAAAAGAAAAAACAGATTTAAAGAATAAATAAATAAAAATCAGGGAAGTGATGCATGGGGGGGGTTGTTTTGCCTTAAAGGAAGCACTCCTAAAATATAGCTAATAATTGATTATCTATTTGTTTCTTTTACCTGCAACAGTTGTGGTTATAGAACTACCCAGAGGAAATCACCTAGGATGACTTAAGTCTTGAGTCTATTATGTAAAAGTTCAAATTTTGTAATTGAATTTAAATAAATGTATTAAAGGTTATAGTAAAACTGAGGGAAAGAATAAAAACTCTTGCCCATGAGACTTAAACAGTATTAGATCCAAATGTTAAATTTAAAATATACATGGGCTGAGGTTTTAGCTCAGTGGTGCCACTGCCTGCCTCACAAGAACAAGATTCCCAGTTCACTCCCTGGTACAAAAAATAAATAAATAAATAAAATACACATCCAAATGGGATTCAATTTTAATATTTAAAAAAATACATCCAGCTCTATTTTAATCCAGCTATTGCATTTCTAAAATTTTTTCTTCATGTGAATAAACAAATGAAGACTATTTTGCCTTATTGGTTATTATATAAAAGATGGGGGGAAATTACATGCCTGCCAACAGAGAACCGTTAACGTATGGTATTGTCATTGGATGGGATCTAAGGTGGCAAAGAAGGGACAGGACCTCAGCTTGACTTGGACAGGCTTTTGACACTGTTGCAGAAAAGCATTTCAGGATGTGTCCGTGAGAGACACGTGGTGATTATTAGGCAGAGTTGGGAAGTGAGAGAAAATAGGGAAGGGACTTCAGCTTGATGAACTAAACCTCCTACAGAGAGGGTCAGAATGGCCCATTAACAAGGAACAGACCACCTGGGGTGGGCTAGGGTCTGGCAGATCATGGTCTTACTACAGACAGCAAAGTTAGGTAGAAATATTACAGGCAGTCAGACAGAGCTAGGCCCTAGAGAAACTCAGGACAAAGGTAAAATACATTACAACCATGGCCCGAAAGACATCTATTGGAGACTAGGCCTCAAGATAGAGATGAAATGACCAGGCCTGCGTACTTCCTCAAAAGACAAACACTGAGCCTAATGAAGTCTAGATAGATATCTGTAACCCCAGTAACCAAGACCTCCCCAACTATCATTCCCTAGAAAAAGTCTGTTCTTTCTATGTACACGTGTTACATAACTTGTTCCCCCATTGGATCACTATTACCTAAGCGACTTACTTGTAACCTTATTGGTTGTTCATAGTCATGACCCCCGCTGTACCCGTGTGGTTTTTGCTCTGTAAAACTTCCCTGGAAAGTGGGATCTTTGGTTACCCATTGGGGTCCCCTCTCCCTCAGGAGTTATCCTCTCAATAAATATTTTCCTACTCTTAACCTCTGTGGTTCCTAGAATTCATTCTTTGGTTGGAGAACACAAACTCAGCATATCAGACATCTAATAGGTATGAAGATTAATATTTTCCTATTTCATCTCCTTATCAGTCTTGTCAGTCTTAGGTCTAGTTTTGCAAGGCAGCTTCAGAAATGTCCTTATCACTGAATCCTGGCTCCATGCTATGACTGTTTCTGCTTAGAGCAGTCTCAGGTTTGTAGCGGCTCTGCTGGAATCCAAGGTCATCATCAGTTAAGGCAATGACTGGAGACTTCTGCAGGCTTATGTGTAGTTGAAGGTCTGTATCGATCCCTTATTTCGACGTCTTCAGCCTTGATGAGGATGAGACAGGTTACATAAATGTAGGACCAATCAGACTTTCACTGCCAGCTTTTTAGAGACACTCCCTAAACGATCAATATGCCTGTCTGTAAAGCTGAGCAAGGATCTGACCAAACAAAGGAGACCGATGCAAACTAAGTCTTTTTTTTTTTTTAATTCCCCTTGGAGTTACCCATTACTGTATCTGCAGACCGAGGTAAAGAGTCTATTTCCCCAAAAGCAGTTTCTAGGTTCCTCACAGCGGCAGAGGAAAATACAAGACGTTAATGAGTAACAGGTGAAGGGCCCAGCAGGGAGTTTGTCCTCCATCCTTATGGTGTCCCTGACCATCTCAGTATAGCTAACTACACAGTAAATGTATGTAATTATTTTGGGGGAAAAAAAGATCAATCCACAAGTGGAATTAAGAAACAGTCTTCAGTCTTTTCTTCTTGACACACACAAAAAAGCAAGATGGAATAATATGTTTGATACGCTTACAATTATGTTTTTGTTAGCAACCAAAACAAAAGGTCATTCATATATACCAAAGCTTATATATGTATTGAACATGTCTGAAAGAGAATGAGTAGCTGTAGACTTGTGTCAGCTTGATTGATTTGAGTGCCGCCGGATTCAAGAAGCGCACTTCCGGGTTGTCTGGGCGGGGTGAGGAGGCGTGGCCTCCTGGCCTGTCTAGTACCTGGGTCTTTCCTCTCTGGTGCGGTCCCTTTGCTCTGCTTCCCAGCCCGTCCCACCGTGATGACGCTGTCTGGGCGTCAGTCAACCGTAAGTTCAGTCCACTGAAGCCCTGAGCCAAATTAAACCTCTCCTCCTTTAAACTGTGGATAGCAGGAACTGAGTTTCAGTGACGAGAAAGCTGACTGATATAAAACACAACATAGCCAGGCGTGGTGGTGCACGCCTGTAATCCCAGCACTCGGGAGGCTGAGGCAGGAGGATCGCTGTGAGTTCGAGACCAGCCTGGACTACATAGTGAGTTCCAGGTCAGTCTCAACTACATAGTGAGACCCTGTCTCAAAAAACAAAACAAAACAAAACAAGATAACCAATAGTCAGCCCTCAGAAAGAAAATCGGAGGGCAAGGTGGGAATCCAAAACTACTGTAAATGTGTCTTCTTGGACCCACTTAACACAGAGAATTAGAACCTTGGGGAGTGCGATGAATATATGCCTTATCTGAAAGTTCATCAGTTGATTGTTACGTTCACTAAAATTGGAGGCTCACTCTCAGCTTTTTCAAGAGCCCAACGTTGCAATCAGTTTCAGATACCTGTCCTGACGCCCTCACATTATTTCCTTTCGTGCAGCATCTTGGTCAGTTACTATCTGTGGAGCTCTCCTGGTGTATAACACTTTGCTTCTGTCAAGTCTTTCCGCTTACTTCTACTTCTTTTGATCAGCAAAAGTAACAAGGGGTTCTACAAGTGCAAGGCAGGCTGGTACAAAGTCCTGCCCTTGAGTAGCCTGTATGCTCTCAGTAAGCCCCTATTACAGCCACCATGAGTGACAAACTCAGCAAAGCTAAGGGAAATTTGACCTGTTTAAATGAAACCGTAATTGACAAAAACTCGAGGCATTAAAAAAAAACAACAACAACAGAGCTATCACTAGGAATAACTCCTTGTCAAATGAAAGTCACAAACTACAAGTGCTATACTTGTAGTTCTCAAACTCTTGGGTCACAAGTCTTTACGCCCTGAAAAACGAGGTTGGGGGTGGCTCTGTGGTACAGTGCTTGTCTAGTACAGTGAAGCTCTGGGTTTGACCCCCAGAACAAAAGAAAGAAAAGAAAGCAATGAGGACCTAAGGATATTTTGTTTTTGCACGCTGTGCCAGTGATATTTACACTGGAAATCAAAAGTAAAGTTTTTAAATATTTATATATTATTTTACTTTAAAATAATGACTTTCGTTAATAAGTAACTTTTAGGAAAAGAATATTTATTAAAAAATTAGGAAGAATGGTAGCTTTGTTCTACATTTCTTTGAAAAATCTCATTAATGGCTATTGTCTTAATAGACAGCTGGACCCTCATTTGGGCTTCTGTAAATACATAAATAGTTTTGATGCCACACTTGACAATTATATTTCCTAAAAGTTAGTGAATTCTGAGTCCATGCTAATGAGTTTCTTGTACAATGTTACATTAAATCCATTGATTTAAAGCCAGGTGTGGTGGTACATTCCTGTAATCCCAGCATTTTAGAGGCTGAGGCAAGAGAACCACAGAGAGCCAACACACTAAGTGATTTAACCTAAACTCCGAGGGGGATCTTTAGCCTGCCTATAATTTTAAAACATGTGCTTTGGACCAGGCATGGTGGCACACACCTATAATACCAGCACTTGGGAGGCTGAGGCAGGAGGATCGCCACAAATTCCAGGCAAGCCTGGGCTACATAGTGAGACTCTGTCTGAAAAAAAGAAAAATATGAAAAACAAAAACCATCATGCTTTGGTCATCTGGAAACTACTGGTTCATTGAGTTTGTTGATCTTCCAAATGTTTTTTTTCATATCATACAGTTACTGTGTATATAAAAATCATAGTTGTTCCATTTATGTGAAATGTCCTGAAATGGCAAATTCAGAGACTGAAAGTGGTGGCCAGCGGCTCAGGCAGAGGGGCAGGGAATGACTGCCAGCCAGCACCGTGTCTCTTGTTGGTGTGCTAAGAATGTTCTGGAACTAGAGAATGCTGACAGGTGCACAACCTTGTGAATAGATGAGAATCACTGAATTGTACTTCAAAAGAGTGAACTTGATGGTCTGCGGATCATATTTCAATTTTTTAGAAATTGGCTGTGGTAAAATTACCACCAATCTCTTTAGAAAAGTACTTTAGCACTGAAAAATACTTAGGCATGAGAAACTAGACAAGCTGAGGGAGGCTGATGTAAGTTCTCCAAAATTCTAATTTCCTTTTGAAAGCTAGAGTAGTATTGTTGCCGGCAAATACTGCACTTGTTTTCCTGGAAGGGTCAGCCTGGTTGTCAACATGTCTACCAAATGTAAACATGGTGTTTCATGGAAAAAGCAGATCAGCTTGTGGCTCGGGCTCACGGCTGCTTTTCAAGACAAGTTGTGAGATTTGTGGTGGTCATGCTTTATGCTTACTTCCCATTTTGCCATACAGATTATTAAGAAGCTATAAGCTCAAGGGTAAAGACTGAATAAAAGTTAAGGACTTTCACCGTTTCGTTGAGGATATCTGTAAGCAAATGTAGCTATTGTTAGGCTGCAGTTGCACAGAACATCATGGCCCTGGTTCCTTTTGGGGTCTCTGTTTTGACTCCAGCTAAAGGCATCAGCAGTTTCACTTACTTTTCTCATTCCTAAGACAAAAACCCGACCCCCAAAGTTAAAGGAGGAAAGGTTGATGCAGCTCACAGACTGTAGAGGTTTCAGTTCATAGTTGTCTGGCTCTAAGGCAGGGTGGCATTGTCCCAGGCAAAGAGGCAGGTGAGACCAAGCAAGGGGCCTTCGGAGCTTCTTTCTGCCCCTTTCAAACTCTATCCAGGCTACAGGGATTAGGGCAGTGCAAAAACAATCAGTGGACTGGTTTAGTGACCACACACCCTTAATCCCAGTGCACACACTCTAGATCCAGCCACCTCTGAAAAGGCCCCACCTATGAATAAGGCTTTGAGGGGACAGCTAGACCCAAACCGTAACACTCACCATTGCTTTTGTACCACCAGAACCAGTACCAATGTGGTTGCTCAGGGATCAATCAGAAGAGTTATTCAGAACTTTAACTGTTTCAACACCACTGTGTTTACTTCCAAGCACTCCTCACTGCTGAGACCAAATTAACACAAGTCATATCTACTGATCTGGTCATTTGTAAGACAACAGTACTGGGCCAGGGATTTAGCTCAGTGGTGTTGCTGCCTGCATTGCAAGTGCATGGTCCCAAGTTTGATCCCTGGTACAAAAAAAAAAAAAAAAAAAAAAGGTATACAACAGTATAGCTCCACAGAGAAGATACTAACTGGGCCTCCATATTTGCAGCTAAATCTTTATCAGACAAGCTTCTGTGTCATTAGAAAGTGGCACTCATATGGTCTCTTTGGCTGACTTCCCACCCAGCAGTGTTGGCTGAATAGGCTTGGGTACCTTGCCTGAAGAATTCAGGGCAGCAGCTAAGCCTGGGTGGTTCTCCAGCGGCCTTTTCATTCCTGGGTTGCACAGCTGTAACAATCAGTGTATGATCTTTGCAAACCCCATGACGTCTACATTTGAAGTATCCCTTTCTTCTTTAAACTCTAAATGACTTCTCTCAAAATGATGCCTGGGCTACATCGTGAGTTCAAGGCCATCCTGGAATACATAGCAAGACCCTGTTTCAAAAAACCAAACCAAAACAAGAAAAACAGGATGATTAGGTCACAGAACATCCTGGGAACACACTCTCAGGAAGGTGTGGAGTTCTGCAGCCATGCACAGGGGATAGACCTGGCGTCCTGGGCCCATGAGGATGGACCCTAAATACAAACTGAACAAAGGTGAGAAGGCAGCTGCACCCACCCAAAGCATCTCCTGTGGCACCTGCTCCCGTGTGTGGCTGTTAAGCTTGGTGTGTCAACTTGACTGTCTTGGGAGCCGCCAAAGGGATTAGTAAAGCATTTTCTGGTGCTCCTGCTGGGTCATGAGGGCATGACCTTGAGTACTCTACATGGTCCCAGGCCCTTCTGTATGCTGTTTCTGTCTTGCAGCCAGCCCACCATGAACTGAATCATCTGAAACCATGAGTCAAACTAAACCTCTCCCCCTAAGTTGTGGGTAGAGGGCACTGTGCCCAGCAATGGGAGAGTGACGAATATGTCACGACACCAGGACAAATTCAAAAACCAGTTACCCTTTCAAATGCTCAGATAAAATAGTGATCTGTAGTCGTTGTTTATACGCAGCAGAAGCTCGTCCTATGGGTTTCGGGGGTGAGGAGTATTGGGAAGACAGTGGTCTGAGAGGCTTCCTGTCTTTCCACCCGTGCTCCAGGCCTGAGCTTTGACATCTGAGGTTGACAGCGATGGTGGTTCGAGAAAGGCACTGGTGACTCGGTTCGGCTGCATTTGTGCACAGACCCTCTAGGGTTTTTCCAGATGACTCCAGAATCATTTTCATTTCTTTTAAGCAAGAGATTCCGACCCTGAAGGGAAGAACAGCCATGCCTCAGCTCCCAGTGGGTAGGTAGGAAAAGGTGTCCCTAAAGTAGCATCTGTCGCTGGCTTTCCCGTCTCTGCTTCCTCTTACGGAGTTGCCGCTGCAGCTGGAGCTTGTTGGTGAAAAACATCTGTCTCCAGCCCATGTCCTCCGCCAGGGCCCTCATGTCGGGAGTGATAGTGTCACAGGCCGACTGAACTATCCGCTCCCACAGGACGTCGGACTTGCACAGCTGTGGGTGGACAAAGCCAGAGGTGGGTTAGGGCCGTCCACTCACCTGCACAGCCATGATTACGCTCCTGCCACCTGCAGGTGGGTGCAGAGAGGTGTGCCAGACTCTGCACAAGATTCCGCCCCAAGAAACCTCTTTCTGAAAAGAGGCAAATGCACAAATACCCAAGAGCAAGAGGGTAAAGCAATGTTTGATCAGTAGAACAAAGCAGCTCCTGATCTCGTTTAGGATGCAAAATACAAGACAGTTACAGGTAATATGACTGCAGATACAATATTGCATCTTTTATTTCCAGTTACCCACATGATGGAGGGTAGCGATGGTGTGGTCAGTGCCCTGTTACGCTGTTTGGATCACTTTACTTGGAATGCTGGGAATGGAACACGGGGCATTGCACACACTGAGCAACTGTGGTACTACTGAACCTCACCCCAGCCATGAAATTCATTTGATTTTTGTTTTTCTTTATGGCACTGAGGATGGAACCCAGGGCCTTGCACATGCTAGGTCAACACTCCAGCTCTGCACTCATTTCAAACCCTCAGTGAGGTCAGCCCTGAACATCCTGGGTGTGAACATACTACAGCTCTGCTCCCTAAGAGCTGTTCAGTGGTGAGCTGCATAAAATGAAGACAGCAGCCCCTGGACTCTGCAACCAGCATGTCTAGAATCCACCGCTTCCTGGTGCCAGGATTCCACCCACAAGTTTTGCTCTGAGTCCTCTGGCCACGTGACACGGCACCAATCTCCAGAGCAGACTTGAAGGTTCTGCCTGCCCCACAGACTGGCTGGCACAAGAATGGCAGGGTGAGCTTTTCTAGGGAGTAACTTTCTTTCTTCTTTCTTCCTCCTTCCCTCCCTCCCTCTCTCCCTTCCTTCCTTCTTTTCTTTCTTTGAGACAGGGTCTGGAACTCATTGTGTAGCCTAGGCTAGCCTTAAACACAGTGGCAATCCTCCTGCCTCTGCCTCCAGACTGCTGAGTTTATAGGTGTAATTTTGGTGAAACATTCATCTGTGCTCTTAGGGCTTTAATTAAGGTTCCCATGGTTAAGAACATCTCCAGCTCATTATCTGTACAAGGCTATTTTACTTTCTTTCTAAGTTCAAAGCTGTCAAAGTTCAGCTTGATTTGCCCAAGATTTCATTATATTATTTTCTCACTTGGCACCATTAATTAAAGCAACTATTCTTTTTTTTTTTGAGTATAGGGAATCGAACTCAGGACTTTGTGCTTTCGAGGCAGGTGTGGTGTATTCCTGCCTTGCAGATGCTTTCTGCTCACAGATGCCTCCATGTGGCCAGGAAGCTCGTACTTTTAAAGTGATAGGCTGCCCTTGTGGTACCTGTTGCTATAGTACCTGTTGCTATAGTGACTGAGGGAACCAAAGCGTCCCTTGACTTAACTCCTCCTAAGAAAGGTCAGAACTTTCTTATATTCTCCAGTACCGAGGCAGACAAGTTAACAAGCAAATATACTCCATCGGAACCCTGGCTCTGCCACTTAATAATTAAGTAATCCTGGACCTACTAACTTCTCTGCTCCTGTCTCCATCCCTGATCCCGTATTTGGTCATCTGAGGAGTAGGCAGAAGCGATTCAGAACACTGGCTTGGAGTTTGACTGCCTGGGCTCGACACCTGGCTCCAATGCGTACTATCTGTGTGCTTTATCTAAACCCCTCTCCCCTTATAGAATCAGGACAAAGCTGGGCTTAGTGGCATGCGCCTGTAATCCTAATGTTCTTGGGGACTGAGTTAGGAGGACTGCAAGCTCAAATCAAGCCAAGCCTGGACTACTTAGCAAGATCCTGTCACAGTACTTAAAAAAAAAAAAAAATCAGGGCAAGTTGGTGCCTACTGTCCACCCTACATAACTGTTGTGAGGACAACCTTGGATCATGTTCTAGACATTCAACAAACAGTAGTTAACCTTTAATGCTATATGAGTTAGACGTAACATGTGTAAAATCCCTGGGATATAGGTAATTAGTGAGCAGGACCGGGAGACAGAACAGAGTATTACCATACCCAGTTCTCAGAAGACTCCAGAAAGAAAGGTCCCGCAGGCCGGTAGCTGCCAGCTGGACATTCACTTGCTAAGACTGGGAGTCTGGGAAGGCCAGGAAAAGCCACAGATTCAGAGGATGAAAAATCAGAAGTCAGATACAAAGACAAATCATGGCCGATGAATTTGTGCTCACAGAATTTAAGCCAGGGCAAGTGTACTTTCTCTTTGGCATTCATCGTGTAGATAAGCCTGAAGTACCAAATCATCTCTCTGCCCATCTGAGAAGACATGTCTTCAAAACCTTATTTGCCAGACATGGGGAACATTGAAAAAGGCAGAATTGCAACCAATGAGCTATACAATGTGCTCTGGGCTGAGGATGGAATGAAACTAAAAAGCCCAAACTGGGCCTTGGTTTTTGTTTTGTTTTGTTTTGTTTTATGACAATCAGGAATTATTTTTATTTTTCAGTGTGATCAACAGTCATTTGATTTTTTTTTTTTTAACCCGGAATCAAACTTGGGACCTTGCACTTGTGAGGCAGGCACTGGAACCACTGAGCTGAATCCCCGGCCCTACAGTCATTTGATTTTCTTTCCTAAGAGTGAAGCTGAAGTGAAGCTGGGAATCGTGCCTGTATTCCCCGCATTCAGAAGGCTGAGGTAGTCCACTACATGGGGAGTTCCTGCCCTCAAAAAAAAAAAAAAGTAAAACTGACTGAGAAACAAGTGCTAAAGGGTTAGAATACAGAAGGAGACACTCAAAGTAATAAAGCCGAATGGCAAGATATAAAATCAACACACAAAATATAATAGCACTCCTGTACACCAACAATGAACCCACCTAAAAAGGAAATAAACAGTTCCATTCACAATAGCTTAAAAAATACTAAATACCTAGGAATCGACCTAACGAGGTGAAAGGCCTCCATTATAAAAATTATAGAACTCCAAAGAAAGAAATTGAAAGGGACATTAGAAAATGGAAGGAGAGCTGGGGGTGGTGCTGCACACCTGTAATCCTAGCACTTGGGAGGCTGAGGCAGGAGGATTGCTGGGAGTTTGAGGCTACCCTGGGCTACATAGTGAGTTCAAGGGCAGCCTAAAACTACATAGCAAGACCCTGTCTCAAAAAAAAAAAAAAAAAAGTAAAAA